ATATATATATTTTTTTATTTATACATATATATTTATATAACTTTATATATATTCTATATAAGTAATATTTCAAAACATTCAAGACGGTATATATAAGTAATTAAGTATTAGAAATGGAAGTGAATGTGGCCGCGAGTTTGCCCGCGACTTCCACCGCGGCTTCCACCGCGACCTCCTCGACGACCGCGACCTCCTCCTCTTCCTCTGCTCCATCGTGGTGCTGTAATAGAACAAAACAAATTAAATAATTTATTTTCGAGGATAAAATAAAATAAAAATTAATAAAATATATATAAAATAAAATAAATAAAATAAATAAAATAAAATAACTTAGTAGCACTGGTATGTATTCTTGTCCCTCCTGCTGCCACTGCTGCCACTGCTGCCATTGTTGTTGCTGTTGCTGCTGTTGCTGCTGTTGCTGCCAATTTTTTATCTCTAAAAAAAAATTTAAATATTAAATTTATATTTATTTTAAGAGCGGATATAATTTTTACCTTTTGTAATATGTGGCGGAAGATATGGATATGATGATGCTGGTGGCGGCGGCGGCTGCGACTGTGGCTGCAACGCTGACAGCAGTGGCCCCGGTGACAACGATGACGGTGGTGGTCCCGGTGGCAACGATGACGGCGGTGGCCCCGGTGGCAACGATGACAGCGGTGGCCCCGGTGACAAACGATGACGGCGGTGATCCCGGTGACAACGATGACGGCGGTGGCCCCGGTGGCAATGATGACAGCGGTGGCCCCGGTGACAACGATGACGGCGGTGGTCCCGGTGGCCCCGGTGGCAACGGTGGCAGTGGCGGTGGCCCCGGCAACGTGTCACAAGATTCGGTACGACCCAGACTGGCGAATTGTATGGCGATGTAGAAGGCTCAACTATGTTGCTCTCGCATAATTTTATCTACTTTGCGCGTTAATTTCCTTCCTGTGCATAGGAGGATATCTGTATTGTTTTGTATGTACTGGTGTCTCGTCTGTTGTGTTGATTTTATGTGTTATAACGTTTGTTTTGTCTAGATATTCTCCTGGTATGTAGAATCTGTCGCTATGTTTGTGAACTAAGTCAATGATGCTTTCTTTTCTAATTTATTAAGATGCTCTAGGCG